TTTTTGACCTCTCAGCATGTCCTCGAATTTTATAACAATTATTTTCAGTCACCATGTATACAATGGAATGACGTTACGTGAAATGTACGCAACGTTACGTTGATGATAACACAGACAAAGAAAATATAAAACGTTGTCAGAACCATAGACTTGACATGTTTCTCGATGTATGTCGACGAGTTGAAACTGCCAGAATTGCGCCACCGTCCTGAATTTTTAAATCTCTAAAAAACACAGTGAAATTTACATTTTACAATTTCGCAGTGGCTCCATTTAAAATTAGTGGTGCTACAGAATGGCGGAGACTTTCTCGTACTAATTGGTTTTCTAATTTCTTTAGTCTTGTCTAGCTAGCTTTCCGGTCTTGTCACAAACTCTTGCCAGCTGCCATCTATCGCCGTCATCTATCGTGTGCTAAGCAAACCGAGCTCAATTCGTTGCTATCTGCTTAATCCATTTTTTACCTAAGTTAATCTTCTTTCATTTTTTTCTAGTTATAGGAGGTCGTTTATAATTTCACTAAGGAATGTACTTCAAATTCATCTTAAAGAATCCACAATAAATTACGGCTAATTTTCTTCTTTACTCCCATACAGAAATATCCCCCCTTTACATACAGAAAATTTATTGTCTTCTCTACAATTCTGTTAATTGTCCCTTCCTGTAGCGACAAGAAAAATGCTCAAAAGCTCTTGATTGGAGGAAGGAATCAAAGAGAGAGTTCAAACACCTGACGAAAGAACATAAGAAAGGATGATCACGGAGCGTCGTGCTCTTTTGTTGCAGCTTCTAAGCTTCTTTACCTGGAGAGTTGGGAGAAACTAAGTCGATTTCACCCGCTAGGTTAATCTTCTTTTGTAACCTGAAAAGGTATCTCGCAGCAAATACTAAACATTACAAGCTTCAATGAAGATGTTAAGGAACATGCAGAGACAAAATTAATTCAAGCTTTGAACCTCAATAAATCAGTTTTTTACCGTTAAAACATCTTTCAATCTGAACAAAAATCACTAAAATAATTATAATTATAAAGTAAATATGAAAAATATAATGAAAAAAAAACAAAAAGAAACAATTTATAATATTTTTATAACTGAAATTTATGAAAAATTGAAATTTCTAGTCTAGTGTTCTTGTTGTTAATACTGGTGACAACTGGTTGTAATACCATGAATTCTGCCTATGATTTGATTAATAACGACTCATCTCAAATTCACATACTAAAAATTCGTAGTTTGACATGAAATTCGTAAAGCTTGACTTGAAATTCGTAAAGCTTGACTTGAAATTCGTAAAGCTTGACTTGAAATTCGTAAGCTTCACTTAAGACAACCAAAGTATATAAATGAATTTGAACGTTCCAATGTAATGAATTTTCAAGTCCTCGCGAGTTGAACCGAGGCAGAGGGTGGGGTGGGGTGAGGACGGTACCTGGGGACGTCGTGCGCGCGGCGCCGCTCCTCCTCGGCCTCGGCCTCGCGCTCCTCGTCCTCGCGGAGGTGGTGGTCGTGGTCCTCGTCGAGGTCGTCGTCCTCGTCCTCGTCCTCGGGGTCGGGGATGTAGGTGCGCGTGAAGATCTCCTCCTTGGTGACGCGCCGCGTCTGCACCGCCACGCGCCGCGACGTGGGCGTGCTGGGCGGCGCCG